GTTAGACATAATATAGAAAATGCACTTCGATGCACAATTGATAATTGTTTTTTGTGTAAGTACAAAATAAACATTTTAAAGAAATATCTGATTACCTTTAAATAATAATTACCTTTATTTCATTTCAGTGCCAATAAAGGATGATAGTGTTAGTTTTGCTGCAGAGGCAAAAATTTCTATGATATCAAATTCATATGACTGCACAAATGATTTAATTATTGCTGTACTTGAAGATTATTTTTCTGAACCTCGATTTTTAAGAAAAAATGATTTATTTGCTATTAACGCAAAAAATCAGTTTTATTCACACAGTAATCCCTCATTGGCTGTGATATATTTCAAAGTTAATTTCGTTAAGATCAAAGAGAATGTAAATTCTACAGTAAAGAATGGTTGTTACATTTTGAGAGAAGAAACAACACTTATTCAAGAATCAAATATACATAGTTATCTACCTCAAAGATATTTCTATCTTGATGCCAAAGAGAAATTGTTGGAACCATATCCACCAAATTTTACAAAACTTCTAACACATTTAGAACATTGTATTTTGCCATTTATTAAACATGGTAAGATTCCGCATTTTAATCTTATAATTGTCTCAGTTCTGACTATATAATAAGTTACAATTTTTGTAGATATTCAATTACCCATAAAGCCAATATTTTTGATTAAGGGTTCATTAGGCTCTAATAAACACAAATTGATACAAACTGTGGCAGAAAGGATTGGATTAAATTTTCTCTACGCGGATCTAGCAGAAGTTCAGGCTTTGACATCGGCGCAAACAGAAGCCAAATTACGCATCGTATTGCACAATGCTGAACAATCCATACCATGTGTACTTTGTCTAAGTAACATAGAATTATTTGGAAAAAATTCTGAAGGACAGAAAGATGAAAGAATTATATCTACTTTTGCAACAGAAGTAAATACGCTGTACAATAAACATTTAAAATATCCAATTATCATAATAGCTACAACAAATGAAACCGACATATCAGCAGAGTTAAACAGAATGTTCATCGAAACAATTCAAATCGAGCATCTAAATCAGGATGAGAGAACAGATCTGATTTCATGGTTGCTTGCCAAACGGAACTTAAATTACCAATCGAACCTGTTGAAAGTTGCAGGAATGTGTTCAGACTACAGATTCGCAGACTTGAATGCACTAATACTACATGCAGTCAAATTTCATTACAAGTACAGGAATACTGATTTCAATTCGCTGACACTGACTCAAGAAGACTTCGATAAAGCTTATGGTAAAATTATAAGAAGATAAAAGTGTGTAATTATATTATTCACTATTTTTAATTTTCTCATTATTTATTTAATAGAGTATATGCAATCAATATACACTGACTGCAAGGGTGTACCTCGTGTCCCAAAAGTGCACTGGGAAGATATCGGCGGTTTAGGGGACCTCAAGCACGAAATTATGCGCCGTATTCAACTACCCCTCTTAAATGCTCTCGGTTTTGGTCAATCTGGGTTACTTTTATACGGACCACCTGGAACTGGAAAAACTCTTCTCGCTAAAGCCGTTGCAACCGAGTATCAGCTCCACTTTCTATCTGTTAAAGGTCCTGAAGTATTGAACATGTATGTCGGTCAAAGCGAGAAGAATATTAGGCAGGGTAATATCATTTTACGTGTGCTAAGATTGGGTTTCTTCTTGGATCCTATGATCTACATTGTATTTCTTTCTTATAGTGTTCGAACGAGCAAAATCAGCGGCCCCATGCATAATATTCTTCGATGAGCTGGATTCGTTGGCACCAAATCGTGGCCGCAGTGGCGACAGTGGAGGAGTAATGGATCGTGTCGTATCTCAACTACTTGCTGAAATGGATGGCCTTGATGGTTCCAACAGCATCTTTATCATAGGGGCCACGAATAGGCCAGATCTCATAGACCCCGCTCTCCTTAGACCCGGTCGATTCGACAAGTTGTTATACGTTGGCATTCATTCCGATCGCGACGCCCAACTCAAAGTGTTAGAAGCATTGACTCGTAAATTTAAATTGCGCGAAAACGGCGAAGAATTAGCACAGCTGATAGATCATATGCCTGCTCATACTACTGGGGCTGATTTGTATTCAGTCTGTTCCAATGCGTGGTTGAACGCTGCCCGTAAAGTATTGAGCAAAGATGATCCAAACAATTCGATGGAACAATCTGTTTCAAATAAGATTGGCTTAAATGAACCTATCACCGTGGAGCTGGCAGACTTTTTAGAAGCTGTTCACGAATTGGTCCCATCTGTTAGTGAGGAGGAGGCGGAAAGATATAGAAGAATGCAAACAGAATTGTCGTCGTCATAGTAATTGAAAACATTGTATCAGAAACGTCCGCTTTACGAGGGTTGAACATCTTTCAATATTATAAACGACAGTCGATCTTTTTATTTCGGGAAATATGTAAAACAATTTTTTACAACGAACAGTTAAATCAAGAAAGGTATTAATCTACGCTCTATCCCTAGATATTGCACCAGAACGGTTACTCTTAGACGCTAGTGCGTGACAAAGAACAGCAGCAGTGCCGAATACCTAATTCCGAGGGCACGATCCTTGAACGGTTCCATTTTCCTACCTTATTAAAAATTCTGTTACAATATACACTGATCCGAAATATACAATGTAGAAAAATAGGATAGCTAAATCCACTGTGTACCTATACCGGGCATGAAATTCAGTAACAAACGAATAAAGGGTTTTTTTTACTGGACGCTGTTGGATTAATTGTTCTCATGCAAATTCATAGTAGTTGAAATAAAGAAATATGTTTACTCTCTCTCTCTCGCGCGCGCTCTCTCTCACTCCGAACATGGTCATTTTTCTAAATTTAACCCTTAGAATTGGTGCTCGGATCCATTTAGACCCATCTAATACGTACGTTATTTACATCTTCCCAAATCTTGTGTCATTCTGTGAATCTTTAGAATTGATTTTCACGATCAGTGTACACTGGAGAAATTACGGTGAAGATGCGATTAAAAGAATTGATAAGCAAGGGCCTGTGGGGACCCAAGCACCGGCAACCATGAGATGGACAGAAACATCCGTTTTCTGAGGGTTAAACGACTAAATCGTGTTTCATTGGATTTCTGCGATTCGTATGTGAAACAAGGCCATTCGAAGTGGTATATCTCACGAACGTACCGCTGTAACACGTGCCCTGATTTTTTGTGCCAGGGATTCTCAACCGTATCACTAACGGGATCGTAGAAAGATAAAAGATAAATATATGTATATATATATCCACAGGATTATGGTCGGGCGTTTGTCACGCGAAAGGGTCGAGAACCCCCGCTCTAAAACGATTCAATCACGTATCAGAAATATACCCACAGGCTCTCACGAATTATTCACGTCCCATAGGCGGCGGTCAATAACGTACCTTTGGTATGATGGCGAGATAAAATCGGTTCCGACTTACAATTGCTTCGATGTACGATCTGTGTATGACTTTCCTCAGTTATGTTTCGTTAGCTAACTTATCGTTACACGAAAGAAAAGAAAGGAACGTCTCGTACACGTACATCAGAATGTCGCGACCGATAACAATACAACACATGTATCGACACGACGAAAGCCACGGAATTGCGTGGGCGATGTCGTTGCAAATGTACATTAAAATGCGCCTCGTGAGAGAGAAAACTTTAAGAATTACGAGTATTTTTTATTCTTGAATCATTCTAGAAATCATGTCCGCTTGATAGTTCCGTAAAGTAAAACCATCTTCCGTTGTCCGATTCTTAATCTGTTAACCAGCTGATTTTCCGGTTAACCTAAATTTTATAACAGACCGCATGTACGTAGTTTATACCGATACTTGATCGAATAAAATCTAGCAATCGTCGATTAAATAAATAAGCCACTGAAAGATTTTTCGGTAAACAGATTAACACGGAGTCACCTACGAGTATGTTCGCGACTCTGACAGTTCGTTTCGTTCGTCCTGGTTTCAATCGAACTACAGAAAACGAGATTACTTTAAATACCCTTAATATTTTTTTTGTTGTTTTTAAATTTTTTCTTCTAAAATGTGAAGATATACTAATTGTTGGGTCTCGTTTCTCTTGTATCGATAGGTTTATTTAGTGCGGTCGAGGATAGCGGCGTACGTAAGTACACACGTACGCTAACATAAGTATCACATTCGATAAATACGCTAATCGCTGCGCGCGATGCAACAGAAGAAATTGACAAAAAATCCCGTGCGAATTCAGTTCTACGAAGCACGTACACTTCAAATGATATTTCGCTTTCGAACAAAAAGTAACAGGTATTCCTCTTCTTAATTGATAAACTCGGTGAGAAACAAGAATATCGGCGAAAGAGAACTATAATCAACCTACGTAGATATTTTGGCCATTGTACGCTTATGTGGATGCATGCGACTCACTGTTTCACTGGAGGCAACGACAAACAGCGAGGTCTTGGGCCCCAAGGACCTTAGTTCTGATTCAGACTAGAAGAAAGGATCTTGTGTTCGCGGACCCGCCAGGTTTGCCAATTGACTATGCGTCGCTACCTCCAAGCACAACTTGTTTTAAATACCGCTTTAAGTATACGAATGAAATACGTAATTAGTCTATATGCGAAAGATTGAAAGCTACGAGGGAACATGGTCGAGTGAAATCGCTCGGTCGACCGCGGTTAAAACGAAATACTTTGTACTCGGCGGGCGTGAACTTTTTTCGCGAAGTTCAACGTATCATCACTCGTACTTACAATTAGTGTCTCATCGCGGTTTTTTTTTTAAGCAGTCTTCTTTCTGTTTGTTTGTTTCTTCCTTTCTTGCGTATGTTCGAGGAAGAAAGATACACTAGTACTTCTGAGCATCTTTCCCACAAAAAGTGTTCGGTAATGAGACTTAAAAGAACCACTGTTTTAATCGCGTGCAAAAATAATTCACGCAGTTGATTTTCTCCAGACAAACTGTCGAGGACGTGCGTCGCCCGGCTAACTTGATAGGGAAACTTTTTGCGTATCTTTGCTTCCGGGATGCGTATTGCTCTCACAGAACAAGAATTCCTAAGCTGGTGGAAATTGCTTTCCTTCCACGCTTCAGAGTTTATAAATTCTATATGCTTCTGTGCACACGGAAGGCCAGTTATGACCCCTCTGTGTTCGACCCTGAAACAAAAAGAAGATCAACTGATTGAGATAGTACTTACGCATCTCCTTGGAGGGTGGAACTACTATATCTGCTCTACTATGTCGAGTTTATCAACTATTTAGGCATTTGCTTCTACTAGATTGGTGCACGTGAACTGCCGTCTTCTCTGCCAATTCCAATATTCTATTTATCTTATAATTGCATCTCCGATTGAAGGGATTCGATTGCTCCGACAATGTTTATTCATGTTTACCAATCCAACAGTGCAAGAGAGACTACTACTGATTAATAGAATCATGGATAAAATGGATGTATCGCTGATCGTTTTAGGTTGACATGAATTGAAGGTGGTAAATCGCATGAGTTACTCGAGACAGGTTTTGTTGTTTGGTAGGTTTGCACTTTTACGCATACCTGGTCAAGACGATTTCGTGGCAAATTCGTGCAGTATGTCACAAGCCATTTCAAGATCGTTCCTAGTTATAACGAGCGCTCTAATCACGGCGTCTTGCGCGAATCCGAGAGCCGTCAGCTTGGAAATGTGTTCGACGTTGACGTTCTCGTATGCCGCGGATTCTGGCTTAGCAGAACCGGTGGGATCGTCCTTACCTCTCATTAGGGCGGACAATCGTGCCGTATTCGCTTCCAGATTAATGTTCCTCACGACGTGCTGTCTCGTACCGGGTATCACGATCGTGTTCTCGTAGTGGTGATCCTGTCTATTGTGCTCTTTGCCGGACTTTGGAGGTCGCGGCACCGATAACGGCGGCGGAACTGGCGGCACGCTGTTGCTCGACGTCGTTTGACACGACGTCGAAGACGCGCCGCTCGAACGACTAGGTTTTTCAGGTAATGTAGGCGGTTGTGGCTGTGGCTGTGCCACAGATATGTGATTTCCTTGCGATCGACGCACGTGACTTCTGCTAACCGGAAACGGAGCAGGTGGTATCGGTGGTGCCGGGGATGGCGATGACGCTCGGTGCAGCATGTCGTACCCTGCCTCGGAATTCACTGCAACGGAAACGCATGTTAGTCAGAATTATGAACGGTTGTTATTTGCTTCTCTTCGTCATATACTAACTATTGTTATTCAGTTGATTGTCAGCGCTGGAGTTAAACACCGCGTTAACAGCTGACGAGGGGGGTGGCGGTGCGTTCTCCTTCGGCACAGTTAAATGACGACTTCTCGAATGACTATTCGGCGTGGGGGACGGTGACAATCGTCGTGGAGGTAGCGGGGGACTTGGCACGACCCTTCGCGTCGACACAGGTGAATTCGTGGGGCTGGAATCCTCGTCTTCGTCAGAGTCCTCGCACATGGATCCGCAGTGGCCATTGCAGAGGTCCATGCTTTCCTAAAACAACGAGGGCACCAGGAGATTGCATTAACTTTCGATATTACTAGATAGAGGAAAGAGGCAGGTCCCGTTTCGTTCTAATTATCGAATACAGAATTTTCATATTTTTCTATCAAGTCCAGAATGAAACGAAAAGCTGAAGGTTTCTTAACAACGATCCAAGAGCTTCGATCATTGAACGCGTTTATACAGAGAAAGACTAAAAGAAAACCGGGGCAGGGTGTTGAGAATAAAATTGTTCTAGTTCGAGTAATAGGCTCGTGGTACCCTGCACACGCGAGAACATGTCGTACAATCGATAGCGAGCGTAAGTACAAAGCGTGAAAGCGAATAGCCTGATAATGCGTTTGTCCACTTACCTGCGTCCAGCAACGTAAGACCGCCGCATTATCCCCGTCGGCTTATGTACATTACCGATTAGTTTTCGATCATGCAGCGGGCAGAACAATGGACCCAGTAGATAAACGTTATGAAAATAAAGGTAAAAAAAACGATCATGCGAACAAGAATAACGATAACACCTTGGCTCAAGTTTTTGTGTTGGGGGTTCCCTGTTAGCTGAAACAGTGATCCAAACATGGAGGAGGCACAGAGCGAGAACTAATTAAACGTATGGCGGAGCACAACGATGACATGGTTCCATTACAAACAAAGTATAAACGTATAAAGAGAAAAGAAAGAGAAAAGGAACGAAAGAGAGTCTTCTCGGTTCCTCAGAGAATGTACATTGAGCAGGAGAAAACGTAGGCTATGGTTAAATGTTTACGAAATATTTATTTTAGACCCCTCTTGTTGCTGCTGGTCTACACAGTCAGCGAACGGATCTTCAACAGAAGTCGGATCGATCAGCAGCACTATATTCATTGTACGCACAAGATACGCTAAACGACTACACGTGAACGCAGTGAACTGTCTATCATCCTTTCATCTCTGTTTCTGCTTTTTTTTTCTTCGTTTCTCTGCCGCTGGATAGATATGCACGAACACGATCTCGACAACTTGCCAAATCTTAAGCGTACTAACAGAAAGAAAAGGAAATAACACAACTAGTACGATTTTTTTTCTTTTAGCTCCAGGCTTGTATACGGCGTTCGCGCGCATAGGATCTAGGAAGTCTGTATAATAAGAGAGAACGTATACAGTAGAACCCCCATTCTACGAGCATTATTTTCACACCGAAACCCTATTGTTTCACCGAGGCATTCGCCTGCAATCTGAAACTAAACAAGTGAAACATAACACAAGAGGATAAAATCATTACATTAGGTCGATGCGTGAGCCCTGTCCATTATGTACAAGCGTAATTATCTCTAGAAAGTAAACGCGTCCGTTAAATATTTATTTTCAAGATTAAATTACGCTTGAACATAAGCGACAGGGCTCGTGCACTAATGTAGTAAAAAGAGCCCTCGTTAAAAATCCTACAAACGTAAACAGGATCAACAAAACGATCTCGAATGGATTGGCAAACGGAGAAGGTCTATCCTTGCATGATAAAATACACTACGAAGCGTGAAGGACTATAGAGGATGCAAAAATGTGGCAAGACATCGTGGATCCTCTCGTCGAATCGGACAATGGGGGTTCCGCTGTACGGGGTTTTACCCCACAGAATAGAAATTCGGTGTTCCATCAGCGCGATCGCTGATGTAAAAAGATTCATTAAGATTGTTGCTTTATGCGTGAACGGAATAAATAATAAATAATCTAAGGTAAAGAAAATAATAAACATCTCTTTGCCCTGGTAAAGATGCCGCATTGTTATTACATTATTCCTATCGCCAACAGGTACGTAATTAATTCTAACAGAATACAAAAATGAAAATCAGAAAAACAACGAACGGGCCTGTGTGCCCATCCGTCTATAAGCTACACTCAGTTGCCCGATATAAGCTACGCTACTTCCGGCGGAAGAGAACTACGCTTTTATCTATCTCTTTTATCCAAGAGCACTATCAAGACCACCTTTTCCATTCGTTTCTCTATGCCTTTACCATTTTGCTTACACAGAATACTGATAAAGTACCAATTAACCGGTGAAATTCTGCTATCAAAACGCAGAAAAACACTATCGAAATTAAAAGAAGCATCAACCCCTTCGCAGTCGATCGAAATAACGTAAAACGATGATCGAATTGTACGTATGAAAGCCAACACTGTACTTTTGACAACGAAATATTTACTGGATTCCGATATCGTACTGTTTGCAGAAAGTAAACCGAACCGTTTACTTCAACCAAAGATAGTGAGACAAAAATAAAAACTAAAGCAGAAAATACTGTATGCAACGATAATCTTCAGCCAAGCGTACAGATATCCAATAAGCAAAGCTTCCCAAGTGTTGCGCCGACTTCTTAATGGACAGATAGCGAATCTTCGTTAAAAATAAAAATGTTCTGCACTGATTGCGAGAAACAGGAATTTCCATTGTCTCAAATTGCACTTATTCACTTCTGTTATAAGTGCATAAAATCTACAGTAGGTTCCTAAATGATCTCTTCTCCTTAGCTATGAATCGTAGACTTTAAAAATTATTGAACCTGACTGGAAATAGGTCTATTGAATATTTTTTTCAAAAAGGAAACTTCTTGTTTCAGTAACTGTAAACTAAAACAGTCTAAAATGTTCGATTTAGAGTTTTGTAAAAGAATCAAGAAGTCGAAGCGACGCTTTTGGATCTAACATGTCCCACTCGTGGACTGTGAAAGGGTTGACCTAACGTTACAAGTTTCCCTACGTCCGGCGAAATAGTGTGTCACCGTATATGTATGTAAACAAAAGCTTCACTAACTTCAACAGTCGTATATGCACATTGCAGGGGAGCCGCAGCTGCCAGCTATACACAATTGGCACATGCATGCGAAATGTCGGCTCGTTTCGTAACTGATCGCGTGTGGAAGAGGACTTTTCCTCTTGTCGTACACGAAAACAAGAACGGATAAACCGTAATAGTGATGATCGCGGGTTACGCGACTTGACGTAACTACAATGTTATTTCTAAACATTATCTCCATCGCGAAAAACAATATAGGTCTGCCTTTAAATAAATCATTGTACGCAGCGGCCGCGATCAATGGTACGCTGAACGACATGTGTAGCGTTCTTGACTCTAGAAAGCATGAATCATAAATGCAAACGAGAACAAATGAGGTATAACGCTGAAGCCCTGAACGGTCTAATGCAAGAAAGCAACCTACCTTAGGGTCTCCATTATTGCCAAGTAATTTATATATTTTCTCTCTCTTTCTTTCTCTCTCAGTATCGACAACGCGACTGATCTCTTTCGAAAAAAAAAAAAAAAAAAAAAAAAAGAAAACGTGTTAGTATAAACGAACACGTGCGCGCCTGTGCGTGAACTGCGTGAAACGTTTTCCCGTGAATTATTCCGTTTTTTTTCAAGCCATTCTCTATGAGTTCTTCTATGTACATAACAAACAAATAAAAAAACGAAGAAATAAAAAATAGTAGAATAATGGAAAAAGAAAATATGATTCGGACAAAGCTTACATAGAGACGAGAAAGTTGGTCCCTTTTTACATTATTCGCTTTTCAAACATTCACTCGTGCGACCACTGTCGTTGCTGCTTTTTGCTTTAGGTTTATAGATTTACGTTACCCACGAGAGGCAACGCTTCTGTGTCGATGATTATATCTCCTATAAATGATATGACAATGACACAGTCGTAGAAAATTCGAGATCTCGCGTGAAATACGTCAGGCATTCGTCAAAAAATATGAGGCGTGTTGCTGGGAGAAGTTGTTATACATAGAGCACATTTAGTGTAATGAGGGGTAGATGCTACTCCTAGTNGAAACGAAAACGTGTTAGTATAAACGAACACGTGCGCGCCTGTGCGTGAACTGCGTGAAACGTTTTCCCGTGAATTATTCCGTTTTTTTTCAAGCCATTCTCTATGAGTTCTTCTATGTACATAACAAACAAATAAAAAAACGAAGAAATAAAAAATAGTAGAATAATGGAAAAAGAAAATATGATTCGGACAAAGCTTACATAGAGACGAGAAAGTTGGTCCCTTTTTACATTATTCGCTTTTCAAACATTCACTCGTGCGACCACTGTCGTTGCTGCTTTTTGCTTTAGGTTTATAGATTTACGTTACCCACGAGAGGCAACGCTTCTGTGTCGATGATTATATCTCCTATAAATGATATGACAATGACACAGTCGTAGAAAATTCGAGATCTCGCGTGAAATACGTCAGGCATTCGTCAAAAAATATGAGGCGTGTTGCTGGGAGAAGTTGTTATACATAGAGCACATTTAGTGTAATGAGGGGTAGATGCTACTCCTAGTCGGATACCTCGGTGTCCGGGTCAAGATCCCGTGTCGGGGTCGACGCGTTACTAGCGGAAGCCGAATGTGTTCCTGGTCGATGCGTTCTTCGAGGATCGAACGGATCAATGACTATCTGTTCGGTTCCCTTTATTTCAGCTCGGCAAAAAGGACAACCTTGCCCTTCAGAATCCTGTAAATCCGAACAAGTCAGATTTATATTTTCCTCATTTAACATAAGTTCAATAATTCTTTTGCTACATTTTGATTCCAAAAAAAAAAAATGAACGCCTAAATGTATAGATTCAATATATTTCCTGATGTATCAGGAATACTTGCTTAAAGTTAGAAGTTCAAACATGTTGGATAGTGTTATTTTTTAATAGAGTTAATGGAATTAGTTTCTATACCTGCCAAGCTGTTAAACACGGAGTGCAAAGCAGATGTCCACAGGGTTCTATCCTAACGTCCTTGTCGTTCTCTGCACAAATTTTACACAATTGGAATGTGCTACCCATTTCACAGTACAGTTCATACTGTTCAGCAGTGACTTTTATGTGTTCCTCTGGTGTAGGTTGCACCGCCCATGTTAAATCTGGATTCACATTGTGACCATCGGGATACAAGTAACTGAAATTGAAAATTTGATCATTAAAAATTGATTAGAATTCCACTGTAGTAAAGAAAAAAGATAGAGAACTTACAAGCCTTCCCGATATCCATCAAGTAAGGCTTGACATAAACTCTTATTGTGAGGTATAGTTTGAAGAATGTCCCCATCAGATGTGACATAACCAATGGCCCACTGTCCTAGCCTTGTGCAACTTAATCGGAACACATAACTTCCAGGTCTACAATACTTTTGTAAACGTGCCTTCACTTCGTCGTACGTAAGGAAAGCTACGTATCCAGGATGAGTCACAGCCAAAATTTGCCAGTTACGTAGAAGTGTAGACCATGGTTGAAATAACCTGCGAGAATTGAAACAATATTAGCATTGGTTCGTTTGTTATCCCACAAGTGATAATTAATGCCCACGGTTGAGAGCTTACCTCGTAAATACATCAAACTCAAAGTTGGAGATATAATCATTGCACGTAAGGTCTATCGTAGATTTCAGTGCCATGGCTTGTAGTACGGAACTAATGGGATGAACCTCGTTCAACTTATCCCTGAATACTTTCCATGGAACTAGTGTACTAAAAATAAATAAAAGAATTGTTTATTAATGACCTGCTACAAAATATTGAGAAACAAGACAAAAAAAGGTAGCAACATTTAAAAAATTCCAACCCAGTCATTTTGTGGAAAAAAGAGAAAAAAAACTATGCAAATATTCTTTAGAGCATATATAACAAATGCCATACTCCAAATTTTTGTTAAGCTTCATTCTCTTAGGGAAAGAAATAGCGAAACATTATAATTTAAGGTTGTCTAACCCCGTAAGTAATATCTAGAAAAGATTTAAGAAAGTCATCATTTCGACGTGACTAATGGAAAATTAGGATGCATGAAACATGAAAGTCATTTTCTACTGTAACGAACCCACAGTTTCATCATATGTTTACACCGGTGTATGCAGCGGTGTGAGTGCATACACTGTAGATAGTAGATGCTAGTAGTTCGCGGCCGGCTCATCAGTGCGAAAGCAGAGCTGCCACCGAACACTTCACGGCTTCACCTTTGCGAGATTTGCCAGTATATTTTTGGTAAGCTTCATTTAATTCGTCATCGAAACGTATCACTCGTCATCATAAACTCACTATCAATGATTACATTATGTACGCAGAAATAATCGTGGTTTAAATCCTACGTAATGTCACAAAAACGTTGTACATTTCGCCTAACACGATGCAACGGTTTCCTCGAGACTCGCGCAATAAACGGTAGATGGCAATCGATCACTTTGAGCGCAAAAATTTGAACGTCGTACAAGTACGTATTTGAAAACCTGCCACACCGCTAGAACAATTTTTACACGTTTTTGTAGTTTCAACTTCAAATCAAGTTTAATTCTTTTGTGTCAATGTCACGCCAAGAGTAGAAACTAGATTTTTACAATCTTATCTTCGTTCGGATATTGATTAGATTGAAGATGACGAAACAGTCGACACATTCTCGACTTTACCGTTAATCCGTAGTATGTCGATTCTAGATTTTTGCTGAGTCATAAATACATAGATTGGCAAACGAAATTTTCAACTGATTTTAATAAATACACATTTTGAGTATACAAAAGTGCTAATTTATTTCTGTCTAGACGTTTGTTTAAGGGATAAAAATAATCCCCAAACGTGTGCACGAGGAACTTATTTTATAGAATATCTTAACAAAATAATGGAAATAGACAAAAATCGAACACTTCTCAATACTCTGCGTATATGCCATTTTATCGTTACATTCTGCGTCTTCCTGATCCCTACGTGTGAAGTAGTTGCACAATGAAGTTTTGTATACACATACCACAGAGTGTTTGCACTGACAGTTTCAGGAACATCGTCGTGCACATACTGCGTACTTCGCTACGAAGACATGCATTTTATAAAATTGGTGCTGCCGATGGGCTTTACTCAAGTTATCCGAAATTTTGCAGGCACGTAATCCGATAAGTTTGACAACTGACCCTTACCCCATCATCCTGTGATCCTCTTACAGAGTGGGAACAAAATAACGGTAGATCTTTGTTCCGAGGATGAAATTTTATGCAGGCTTGATCTTTGCATGGATCGTGTTGGAGGAATTTTATTCTTACTTATTGCACGACGCTAATCTGTTTTACAACGACGAATTCCCACAATAAATAAAAGCGTTCAATCAACGTATTCGATTCCATATTCATACACTGTATGCATTAATTAATAACAAAGAGACTTGTGATCAATAGACCGCGGGTTTTTATGCAAATTGAAAATTGTCTGTATTCATTGCAAACAGTGCGTATTGCACAGAGGTTTGTTTTTCCTTCTACTAACTTTAACAAGTTGCAAAGAATATATAATAGTATCTTTAAATTCTTCTAACGTTTTTTTTTGACTATTGTATATTTGACATATCCATTTTTATCATAAACACATCAAAATCCGTAGTCTAGTAATTAGGCTACGCTTTCTAGATCTTCTTAGACCTAAAGCTTATTCGATGAAAGAAAATATTTGCAGAAACGTATGATGGTAAAAGCGTCGATTAGAGCAGTTTTAGAATCGATCGACCGATCAATTAGACACACAAGGTCTTAGGAGTATATTTACTTCCACGTGCTTCAAAATGAGTTTCCAGTTAGCTCGACGAAACCATCTAATAAATTATTTAATGCCACCTGGCCGTTGTCATGTCTACGCGACTTCATTCACCAGGCGATTATCGACCAGTGTGTCACGTGAACATGACTTGGATTTTCTCCTGTCCTACGATATCGAAGTCGAATGAATCAATTCGAAAATAAATGTTCTACCTTATATCTGGAACAACAAGAACTTTTGTTAGCACTCTGACAAAAAGTTCATTCACCTCTGTAGATATTATAAATGAAATTGAGAAACGCGGACTGTAAATGCTAGACTCGAGTAGGATGAGGCGTTGGTTTCAGCGCTGCCGTGTCTAATAATAAACATTTCTCACTTCTGCTTTTTATCACTTCGTTAATGCTATCTTTGTTTTCTTTTTTATTACACTGAGATAAAGTAGTATTTATACGGGCACTTTATCCGAACCAACAAGTGCACTACTTCCAGTGCATCTATCAGGTAATTCTGTGCTAATGTTTTGCGCATTAAGCGACATCGAGATTTAAAATAACACATCGAAATTTAAATAAAAAAATTTCAATATATATATATATATTTTATTTTATATAATTTAAATATATTTAGTTATATATATATAATTTAAATATATTTATTATATTTAGTTATATATTTATGTACGCAGTCACGCCGCAGAAATTTCTGAACAGTGCGCTGGGATTAATGTGTCGTCATTTCATTGTTTCCATTGCGACAATAGATTCTAAGCACACCGATCGATTTCAGTTGCAGCAGTAGCCATGAGCGGAAACGAGAACTACAAGGAGGCGAAATCTGTTTACGATTTCACCGCAAAGTCCATCAAAGGCGCGGAGGTTCCTCTAGTAAAGTAAGATAATTTTTGTTACAATTACCGTCAACGATTAGCAAAAGGTACATTAAAAATAATATATTCACAGTTACAAAGATCACGTGTGCTTGATCGTAAATGTGGCGTCGAAATGCGGTTTAACGGCAACGAACTACAAAGAATTGAACGAGCTTTACGATGAGTATGGCGAATCTAAAGGTAAAATTTGCCCATTCGAATGGTAACGAAAAAACTAGGCGTAGATCATTGAATCAATGCGTTTGCAGGCCTACGAATTTTGGCATTCCCTTGCAACCAGTTTAATGGACAGGAGCCAGGAGGCAGCGACGAAATATGCAGCTTCGCCGACCGACAAAAGGTAACGTTTCGATAACGTATCTCTTTATTTTCGTGCACGCAGTATATATGTGCTAATAGCGGTAATATACTATCAGTGTCAAGGATTATTCGAGTACGCATACAAAACGATTAATGAAAATTGCAACACGAAAGTCACGCGTGGGGGGGAGTAAAGTTCAAAATCAGAGTACACGAGTTATCGGATATTATTTCTAGGTAAAGTTTGACCTATTCGAGAAGATCGACGTGAACGGCGATGACGCACATCCGCTGTGGAAATATCTGAAGAAGGAGCAGGGAGGAACCTTGGGCAACTTTATCAAGTGGAACTTCACGAAATTCATCGTTGACAAGGATGGCAAAGTGGTGGAGAGACACGGTCCCAACGTGGATCCGAGCAAGCTGAAAAGCCATCTTGAGAAATATTTCTAATTTCCGTTAACATATATTTTCTAAGTTTGTGTTGACTTTACACTCGCTAATCAACGAAATCGCGTGAACATGTAAATTATTCATTCTCTTCCGCGTCTCCTACACCAAGAACTCACATTTAGATACGTAGTTTCCAAGCTTTCTTCCTGTTCTCATTACGGAACTGGAATGTATCGTGTGACTCGTTAGCCTGCTAAAGATCTTTTTGTATAAATACAAATGTTCGATGTATCTCTCTACGTGTACACGTAAATAAAAGATTGCAACACCTGCAATTTGTAAAACTGTTGCATCAAGCCGTTTGCTATTGTGCCGAGGCCTCTAGACGGTATAATACTTTCGTGTCTTTTGAGGCGACAATTTAGGCGTTCCTTTATATTATCGCTCTAATGAAACCCTGGCGAGCCTCGCCTCGACTGAAAGAAGATTCGCGCTACTTGCGGACGATATTTCTTACTAATGACTAGACCAGAGTGGTTTGGTCTCGAGGGCGTTGAAGGGATCGTCGGACAATTAAATTGACTCGCTCGAAAGGCACTAATGACGCTAGAAATAGAACCGGTCACGAACAAACATAAACGGAGGTGACATATCGTCGAAGTACGCGAGGCACTCGCCCGCTGACCATAAACGAGAACAATGGACGGCGCGTCGAGGAAATTTATCAACACTTTTAACATATCGTCGCGTTTCTTTTCCTTGATGGATGACGGTGACACCGTCGACGCAATATCCGGAATGTAGGTGAATCACCCCTACCGCAGACAAGTTCCTCCAGTGTCCGCTACGCCATACATTTGGTCACCTGTTGGCTCTCCTGTCGGAGCGATTTCAACCAGTCCAGATGTTCGCAACAGAATTCTGTAGCGGATTTCCGCCTGAGCACAGAACTCGCTTCACCAAAGGGTCAACAACACCCTTCGACGCTTTGGCCGTCGTTACCAAGGCAAAGAAGCTCGTGAAACTTTAATTACGTCATTAATTGACATTTAACGGCAACGGCGTCTTATCAAGTTACTCGTAAAAGCGGTAATTAACACGCAGGCTTTAGGCAGTTATTAGAAGCGACGTTTGCTGCTGCAACAAGTTTAATCGAGTTTAAGGGTGGAAGCCTCGATGAAGTCGTCAATGCGTTGAAATGCTTTCGTGTACAGTAACTCCAGAAAATCTCTGCACGCATTTCCGATTTTCGATGGACCAAAAATTTCCCCTGAAACTCTTGCGAATAGTTAGACAATGTTCGTCTTGACTTTTCGAGAACGTTGTCATTCAAAGTTTTCGTTTCAACGATTGTTAAAAGGAGTTTTCGTTGATTGTTCCAAGATTCTACCGAACAGTTGCGAAAACTATGACAAATTGAAACAAGGAAGGGAATGGGAGCGGTGGTATCTATCATAATTAATTTTCACGAAGTAGGAGCGACGAGGGTAAAAGAAGTGAATCCTGAAGGTGTAATCGCGTTCGAGGGTTTCTGGAGCCACTGTACGCGAGAGCAAATTTTGTGCACTACGTCGGATTGTTCGAACGAGGACCTGGAGATGCCTGCTATTTCAGCATTGAATAAACTCTCTCATTGCTTCCCAGTTCTAATACGAATCGCGTGCAATAAGAGCAACGAGTCCGGGCAAAGTGGATTCACAGAAAGTTGGTAAACCGCCGAAATGGACCAACCAAGCAATCGACCGCTTTCCGAGTCTCTCGAGATGCGGAGAATATTCGAATTCGAGATAAAGCGGACAATCGAGGGTCGCAAATGAATTTGCACATCGAATAATATATTCGAGGAGCGGCTCCAGAGCGACCAGGTCAACGATTGAGGTTCCCGCGATGGGCGGGCATCAATCTTCGTCCCGGTTGGTTCGCGGAACTTTTCCCCGGCGAAGTTTCCAGAACTTTGGCCCGATTGGAAAAAATATCGGAGCGGTACCGTGACCCAGTAGGACGGGTCTGAGGAAACGAGTCGCACCGACGAGTCGGTTCTCCGGCGGGAAAATGGGTCGATGTGTCCCAGGCACGCTCAGGCTACGCGATGATATAATTACAGGGCATCCGCGCGAGTCCCGTGCGAGCGGGTCAAGGATGAACGTCGGAACACTCGACACGCCGGGCCAGGTCGGGCCGCATCGCGCGAAATACTTTTCTTTCCTCGTCGTGTTCCCCGTTTGATATTCATATTTCGAAGAAAGTAGGCGACTCGCGGCTCGGCTTCGCAGCCGAGCAACGGGATGCAGAAGGTGGGAGATACAGAGGATGGAGGGGGCGAAGACTAGCGATTCGCCGAGGCGCGTGTCCTTCCTGAATTTCAATCCTGAGCCGCTTTACGTCACCGTTTAAACTGGGTCGCGTCCTCTATTGCAGGAGTACCCCCGTGTCTCGGAATCCAATGCTCCGAATGCGATACGTGCACAAGGCTCGCCGACGCGCCGCGTTCGAAGAGGTCACGGGACCGGGGCGACGTAAAATCGAAGGAAAATCGTGTTATCCTGTGTTCGAAGCGTGTCCTTCTTTCAGCCGGGTCTTCCGAGCTCCGGCAATCTTACGGCCGGAACACTCCTTCCTCGGAATCTTGTTTAGAACCGTCATCCATTGCCTTGGATCGATTCCAAATCGTCGAGGCGCGCTTCATGGCTACCCTTAACCCGTGGGGATGGGTTGGCGCTTTTTGAAACAAAATTTATGCGGTGGCTCTCTGCTGCATTAAGAACTTATTAAGGTTAAGAGCGCGATTTAGGCGAACGGACTTCGCGGAACTCGATAAAGTTAACCCTTTGCGGTTGAAGCTATTCGAATTCGAAATCCAAAACATGATTTCTGATCTACACTAGTTCTATTTTATATAATTTATTGCGACTTATACACATGATATTGAGCCTGTTGACAAGTACAATGCAATTTTAATAGTTTCTTTTCAAGTAGAAACGAGTCCGATGCTCTTAGAATGATTTTGAAAAATGGTACACCAATTTTTAGTGGCGCCTCAGAGTCGCCATTCGAGTGCAAAGGGTTAATATCGCGGATAAGTAGGCGCTGTAATTAGCACAATTGGCGAGACGGAGATGAAATGGAAGAAAGGTGCTTTCTTTTGTAGTAAAATATCGGAGAGTTCGTCAAATGTTTCGGAATCAACGACAATGCGACCGTGCGCGTTGGGAAGAAAACTTTGTGAAATGCTTGTTTCGTTGGCTTAGGATCTGGGTTCATTTCCGAAGAAAACGTTGCCCTCGCTGAGCGAGGAAAGAATCGGGATAGTCGGTGTCAACCCCGTGTTAACCAAGGGTTAAGTTTGCTTTGGATGAAAGTGAAACTTCAGGCTAAACAATCTCGTCCTACAGTTTCGAATTACGCACGCGGGAGGGAACACACCTCGTTCTCGTTGCTGCCACGGTTAGCTAGCACGTCGCTACTGTATATGTAGAAATATAATACCTACATGTAGGTATATTATATATGTATACGTATACGGTGCGTGGTTAATGTACAAAACGAAGCTGAGAGATACTAACGCTATAATTAGTCGTCCTTGCTTGCCGACTGATCCGAGGCTCGCCTCCATTCATAGATCCGCCGCTTTTCCAACGCATCGACGCGACGCGAGACGTCTTCCATATGACCGCCAAAGTCTGCCACACTCCGCTTACGAATCGAATATTCCAACCCCGCGGCATTTCTCGCGGGATTTTTAACCACCCTATAGCAAAAGAGATGGCCCGGAGTGTAACCTGAAGTTGCGACTGTAATTGGAGTACGAGAAGACGACGGGTTCAAGGAATTCTACCTCGCGTCGATTTTTGGCAGACCCTTGCTGGCAAAAAAACGTGTAAATTAGCCGGAAGTACAAACATCTTTTGTTCATTTTTTACCAGAGAAAATGTGCACACTAATCGGGAAATATTTTACTTGGTCCGTTTCTCTATGGTAACAAAAGCTTGCTGTTTGGGTGGACGAGAGTCATCGTAGCTTTTGTGCGGCACAGCACAACGGGGAAAGTCGGAAAATCGTAGAAAGAACCCGTATATGGACTACATTATCTCGCCTCTTGCTACGGCCACGTTCTAAAATAAAGGATGACGAATACCTGTGCGGGCAGATAACGAAAGTTTCACAGCAGATAAGAAGATACCGGCGGTACACACCTGTGCCCGTGCATTCTAATATTGGCTCTCGAAGAATACCCGACTTCTGAAGTCACCCGACCGGTGCTTTCAGCGTTGCTCATGGTTCGCGATGCTAACCAACGTTCACAGAAACTGAGATCGAAGGCTCCCCAGAGTAGGATGCGACACTGAAATACCGAGCTCTATGCACCGCGTGGACTTACAGCATCCGATAAGCGAGACTTGTGGACATTTATGCGGAATAAATCTGAGACTATCGAGAATACGATATCGTTGCAGAGCTAATTTTAGTTGAAGAGTGCAACGTAGACAAAAATTCGTCAAATCTGTTAGACTGCTGTCTAACGGAGTCTCGAGCTCGTCTATTTCTACGTTGGTCGAAACGGAGTTCGCCAGAATCGACGACCACCGTTGAAACAGCGCGGTGATCGAAAGGATATTGGAGTCCCAGCAACAAGAAGGCGCAGTCTAATGGGGCAACCAGTGGTAACAGTTCGACTGCGGGAGCCCAGCCTCGGCTGGATATCGTGCCTTCCGCGGAAGGTTTCCAACCACTGGCGTGGCGATGCAATTACGCAAGATAAAGCGAAAATACACCGATGGAAAATGTCAGTGGAACGACCGGAGAGCCGCGTTTCAAGGATGCTTCGTTCGNGCTACCCTTAACCCGTGGGGATGGGTTGGCGCTTTTTGAAACAAAATTTATGCGGTGGCTCTCTGCTGCATTAAGAACTTATTAAGGTTAAGAGCGCGATTTAGGCGAACGGACTTCGCGGAACTCGATAAAGTTAACCCTTTGCGGTTGAAGCTATTCGAATTCGAAATCCAAAACATGATTTCTGATCTACACTAGTTCTATTTTATATAATTTATTGCGACTTATACACATGATATTGAGCCTGTTGACAAGTACAATGCAATTTTAATAGTTTCTTTTCAAGTAGAAACGAGTCCGATGCTCTTAGAATGATTTTGAAAAATGGTACACCAATTTTTAGTGGCGCCTCAGAGTCGCCATTCGAGTGCAAAGGGTTAATATCGCGGATAAGTAGGCGCTGTAATTAGCACAATTGGCGAGACGGAGATGAAATGGAAGAAAGGTGCTTTCTTTTGTAGTAAAATATCGGAGAGTTCGTCAAATGTTTCGGAATCAACGACAATGCGACCGTGCGCGT